CTCCTCCGGCTTTGTGAGCTTTCAGCCCCCCTCCCCACGCCGCTCTCTCTCCCCGGGGGAAGGCTCCGGCTTTTTCCGCTCCGCCCGCCCCGCCGCTTCCCGCCCGGGGCAGGTGCTCCGCGGCTGCCGGCCGCCTCCTCGCCGCGCTCCCGCCTCCCTTCTCCCGCCCGGCGGCCGGGGCGGCTCCGCGCCGCTCCTCCCGGCTCCTGCGGGGCGCTGGCTGCCCGCCGCCAGGGCCACGCCGCCGGCCCGCCGCCCCCTCCTCCCGCCGGAGCGGCGGCTCGGCCCGGTTCGCCCGGGGATGCTGCCCTCAACTCCCCGCCCGCCGCCTGACACCGCCGCCGCCGCCGCCGCCTTTTCCGCACCGGACGCCGCTCTGCTGCTCTCTCCGCGGCCACCTGCAGCAAGCCGGCTTCCCGCTCTCCGCCTCGCACCGCGGCGGAAGGAATAAAGAGCTTAGCCCGTCCCGACCTGCCCGGCCGGCGCTCCCTCGGGCCGGGGCGGGCCGGGCCCCGCGGGCTGTCCCCGACGGCGGCCGCTTCTCCTCGTCCCCTGCGCGGTTCCACGCGGATGGACGCGCTGCCGCTGCTCGTTTCCCCCCGGCCGCTCCGCACCGCCGCCTGAAGAAAACTTGGGACGGGGACGGCCCCGCCCGGGCTGTGGGGGACCCTTTCCCCGCTCCAAGTTCGCGGGGGGACCCACCCGCCTGCCACAGGACTCCGGGCCGGGACCGCCGCCCAGCGCTCCCTTCCCTCGGCGAGAGCTCGGCGGGGACCCCCTGCCCCTGGCCTCGGTGCTGGGGAGGAGCGGGGGTGCCCTGGATGGCCCTGCGCACTGGGACAGCTTGGTTTGGGCAGGTCTTGCGCAGAGTTTCCCGGCTTCAAGGCACCTGGTCCCGGCGCTCCAGCAGCCTCCTGTGCCTCTCCTCTTCCCAGGAGCCCGAGCAGGCGGGCGGGGAGCGGCCGCCGCCGCAGCACAAGCTGCCCCGGAGCAGCCGCCAGCCCCCCCGGCAGTTGCCCCCCTGCTGCGGCTGCTGCGGCCTGTCGGATCCCCGGGCGGCCAGGGGGGGACATGGTCCCCTCACTCGCCCCTTGCTGGCGGCCATGAAGAGGCAGAACGTGCGGACCCTGTCCCTCATCATCTGCACGTTCACTTACCTGCTGGTCGGGGCTGCCGTCTTTGATGCCCTGGAGTCCGACAACGAGATGCGGGAGGAGGAGAAACTCAAAGCCGAGGAGATCCGGCTCAAAGGAAAGTACAACATCACCAGCGAGGACTACCGGCAGCTGGAGTTGGTGATCATGCAGTCCGAGCCACACAGGGCTGGTGTCCAGTGGAAATTCGCCGGTTCCTTCTACTTTGCCATCACAGTCATCACGACCATTGGTGAGTGTCTCATTTTGGGGAGGGGGCGAAAGCTCTTCCAGATTAGAAGAGGGGCAGGGGGGCTGTGGCATGCAACGGGTTAAGTGGTGGATGAGTTTTTTGTCTTCCCTCCCGTGTTATGCAATTTGTGGCTCTTCATGGACAACTTGTTGGACTTGGATTTGTCCCGCATCCCTTCCTGTGGTGATGGAGCCTGGGGGTCACCTGGGAGGGAAGGTGGCTACTTGGTGGCTATTGCCAAGCTGTGGCACGGGTAGTGAAGAGAAGTAGGAGAGAAGAGGTGTGATGACACTCTCAAGAGGGGGGTCACATTCTCTGGATGAGGCTCTCTGGGGGTTCCCTGCAGGAAGAATGAGGCCCTGTCATCATGCTCCTCCTGGGATGTGCATGCACCTTCACTTAAGAGATGCAGAGAAATCTTAAACATAAGGCAGGTGGTTGAGTATGAAAATGATGAAGACGTGGGAACTGACTGAGCTGGGAAACCTCTGGATGTAGCTGTGGCTAAGGGCAGCCCTGCTTTGCCAAACTTTGTCTTGGCATTGTTGGCAGGGGTTCCCACAGCTGTGTTCCCACTGCTGGGCCTGTCCTGGGCATTCTCAAATGTGTTCCTGAAGTTTTCTTTGCAGCTGGAGTGTCAACAGGTCACAGAATGCATCTCCTGTTTGCGGGCATACAGCCCAGAGGAGTGATGTCCTCTGTCACATCTTCGTTGCCAGGTTTCCCTGGGTGTGCCATTTGCCAGGACAATAGAGTGGACACAGCCACAGACTGTCATTTTGTACTTCTCTGATTTGTTCAGCTGAAACAGGGCATTTTGCATAAAGTTTGCTTCCTTGTTACAAAAATAACTACCATGATAACTGGAGGCTGCAGCGTGCACGCAGAACTGTGCTACAACTCTGACTTTGGCTTGATTAGCAGGTGTGTTCTTCCTTATTTTGCATTCAGGGTGGATTTACTAAGGCAGTTGACCTGTCCTTCTCCCAGCACTTGTAGATGCTCCCCTCTAACATCTGGGGAGCTCTGAAAGACCCTTTATGCTCAGTGGCTGTTTGGTAGCACAGAGAGCAGGGCACAAAAGACTCACTTCCTTACTAAGATAGAAAGATTCAATCTTTTTTTTTTTTTTTTTTTTTTTTTACCACTTAGGGCTTGTTGCAGCCAATTTCCATATTGCCACCTGAAGCTACTGGCGATTTTTGGCAGAATATGCCATCCACCATACTTTGAGCTGCATTTACTTAAATTTGCACCTGATTGTCTTGTATGTGTTGCATTAAAATTTTCCTTTGAAAAACTCTGGCAACATGAAGCCTATTTGTCCTTTTAAATAGTAATCTCCTTTTTCTGATATTATATATATATATAATAAACATATTAATTAGCAGATGGCTTGGATGTCTCCTATTAATTACAACATCAGAACTCTCTTTCCTCCTTTACTTATGGATACTCTTTTCCTTGCCTTTTGTCTTGTCATTTATTTGTGCTAAGTGAAATTTGTGCCCTGGATTACAGCAAGGCTTCCACACACATGTCTGTATACTCACAGTGCTCTGTACTCTTGCCTAAGTGGTGGCTGCAGTACTTTGTGTTCTTAAGCTTGTTTGGTAAGAAGCAGAAAAAGCTTTTTTAACAATGGTTTGCTCTTTTGACCGTATTTTACCTGGAAACAAGTGCAACTTGCCTGGAAGCCCATGACATTCTCTCGTGCAAAGAGGTGAGATTCATTTAGAAAGCTCAGAGCACGTCATTGTGCAATGGATAGTGTACATTTCTGCAGGCAGAGGCACTTTGGGATGTCAGAATTGTTTAAGTTTTACATGTGTATAGCAACGGGGATCCACTGTGAGGGAGGGTGAAAATAAAGAATGGTGGAGAAAGACAGACATTGTTTGACGATTGTTCATTTGGGAAGCTCTGCTCCAGGAGGATATGTGTTCTGTCTTTGGAAAGTTTATTAATAGTCACTATCTTCTTTTTGCCAAGTGTTTTTCTATTTTGTGTATCTCTTCATACTGAAGTAGTTTTGGAATGTTGTGAGATCTGTCGGTTGTCTGTGTAAATTAGCATGCAAGATTTTTATTTATTTTTTAATTTTAATCTAAAAGAATTTGTTTCACAGGGGGAGAGTACAACTTTATATATTACAGTTATCAGGAAGATAAGAAAATACTTCTTCTCTGTGTTTCCTGCATTGGACAGTTATCTGAGATGTTCATCTTAATTTTTTGTGATGGCTCCTATTTTTAGTCTGTGTGTATGCTCTCATATACATTTCCTTCTCCCTCTGAAACCTTCAAGAAGCACATGCAGCGTATGCATTAGAGAATGTGCTGTAGTCAGTAAGTACTCACGTAAAGTGCCCCTAAATAACCATCTCAGACTGACTGTTGAAGCAGAGTGAGTAAAAACAATCATTGCGTATTCCAGAGTAATAAATCTGTCCCTACAAACTTCTCTTCTGAGAAGTGCAAGTGGAATCAATGGAACCACATAGTCTACCAATATGCATATAATAGCAGACTAATTTATGTCTAGCTTAATTATGTTCCTTATATCGCCGTGCTAGCAATGTATGCGATCACTTCTTTACCGTGTTGGTTTAAACTGCGTAGCTTTAATTAAATCAAAGGCGATCCTCGCTATTCGCTGACACCAAGCCGCGGTCTGCTGTCGCCGCGGGACGTGGTGCTGAAGGGACAGCTCCGGCAACCTCCGCGCCGCCGGGTCCGGCCGCCCTGCTGGGCAGCCTCCGCCTTGAGTAGGGCTGCGGGGCTTGGTGAGGCTCCGAGTCTTGCCTCCCCGGAGAGCACTGCATTAAGGACCTGTTTGGGTTGTACAGAAAAGTCAAAGCTTCCCGCGTGAGGCAGAGAGGTTTGATCAACTCTCACATTTCCTCAAATCTTCAGCATTTTGCTTTTTATAAAGGGATGGTGAGGAGTTGTTGCTCACTTGTCATGAATACTAAACAAGAGGGAGTTGATCAAGTAAACAGAAGCAGGGTTTTCTTTCATCTACTCCCCAGGTGCACATTGTTGGTTTTTCTTTTTCTATTTTCTTGAACACAGCTCTGGGTGCTACAACATTGGATGATTCTGCTCTTAAAATCCGGTATAAGAAGAGAAATATCATGCAAAGTTTTGATCATATTTGAATTCTATTCTGAGAAAGTTTTTAGGTGATCAAATGAACTAATAAGCTGTTCTTGACTCTCACCAGTTGCTGAGTTTATTTCAGAATTGTAACCACTTTGGAGTTAGTATAATTTCCTATCCATTTACAATTACACAGCCAAAATGATGACAGAAAGTGATTTAAGCCAGTTCTCCATCCAGCTGTTTAACTTTTGTGAGATGCGCTGTAAATTTTGACAGTGAGTTAATCAAGAGGCTGGATACAGTGAATGAAAATGCCAACTTTTGAAACTAGAAAGTGGTTGCTAGGATTTCTACTAAGTTTTAATGCCCTTTTCTACAGGTTTATGTGTGGCTAAACTGATTCCATGTAAGAAGGTGTCGACACTGTCAAAATGTGTTGTTGGTATGAGTATCGCTCTATGATTTAGGCCTTAAAGGGTGATAGTCATACTTGATTTAACACCACTGAGCTCTAGTAAACAGTGAATATTTCTGGAGGCTTGTGCAGAATATAAAGAACTGAAAGCTGTTTATGTCACCCTAAGATGAACTGAAACAACAAACAGATTGAGGATTTTTATTTATTTTTTTCCTGAGAAGTTACTGTAAGTAGAGCAAAATTGAAACAGTGTGTGCAGTGAATTACTTAGTCTCTTTTTCTAGCTTTTAGGCCTTTGTTTTGAGTCTTAAACTTGTTATAAACAGTGGCTGAATGTTCCTGGTGAGTAGAGACAAAATAGTTTTGTAGAATATGGTGCAAAATCTGCAGTGATGAGTGGAATAACAACCTACTGACAGCAGTTTGGCTACTGATATCTAAAGGTTCAGGAAGGGGATGGCTTACTTCAGGCAGATGATGGCCTGACAGCCAGCTTGAACCTACATTAATGGACTAAGGCTCTCGTTGCTCATCCTTTCTCTGCATCACTTTCCTTTTCTGTAAAACGGGTGTAAATACTCACGAAGATGATAATGTTCCAATTTTTTCTAATTTGGATTAGAAAAGGTTGTATTTTTACATGTGAATTATTTTGTCAGTATTTCTGTAAGGCCAGCCTCCAGTGAATGGAGTCAATTTCTGATTTTTCCATAGCCAGTAATATTTAAACGCATTCCAGTGAAAAGCTTTGAGTAGAGAGTAGGGTCAGATGGATAATTTGACATGGAAATTAAGAAAAAAAAAAGAAGAGAACAAAATAGCAGAGAAAAGACAGAGAACAAATACATTAATGCTTTTTTCTGTTACCTGCTGCATTTGTGAGTTACCAGGAACCTGAAGATCATAGCTCATTTAAAAAATCAAATCAAAACAAATGAACAAACAAAAAGCACCCCAAACAACCAAGTTGTGGTTGAAGTCACTCTGTTATTAATAAACTCAGGTGAAAGTAGAGAGTAAGGTTTTCTGGTGACATGAATGCTTGTAGATCCGCTAAAGTAAGGAATCTATTCTGATTTATCCCATCTGAAGCATCAGTGGAGAATACTGGATGATCAGAATTTGTAAGACTTGCTTGTGGCAAAGGGGTGTCAGCTTCCATGAACCATTTTCTAGAGTTTGATCTGCTGCAAAACTAAGATAGTCTGCAATATCTTTTTGTACTTTATTCTTTGTCTCATAGAGGATTAACAAGAAAAAGATAATTCAAATAATATTCTACTAAGACAGAAGGGACTTTGTATTCCTCCTTTGTTCACATGCTCACAGAAACAGTTTTTGAGTTCTTGAAAACTGGTTTTGCAATGATGCCTGACATTCCTGACAGAGGGACGTTAGCAAAAGCTTTTTAAAAGTGGCTGATAAGCAAGTTCAAACTGATGCTGAACTGCACCAGCTGTATGGTTTATTGATGGTGA